CCGAAAGTTTTTTGAAAATTTCATTGATGCCGCGGATTTTGCATTTTTCGTTGAGATTTTGAAGATTTGTATACCTTGTGTGAGTGCGAGAGAGACGGACTTATGCGGACTTGCGTGCGTTGAAGAAGGAGGGATATAGAGGTGACGCGAATTGAAAGTGTGTCGATCACTCTTTGAAAAATTTTTCCAGCGATTTTACGTTCGGAGTAGCTGTAAGTTTACAGTGGTTCGTGGTATTTTGTAAATTCTTAAGTATGCTGTTGGATGTCTATTGTTATGGTGCGTGTCGATTTTTGAACTATCGATAATATGTCAAATCGTCGGGGGTATATATGTATAATTATCGTTTGTTAAGCTTTGAATTCCTGTATCTTAAATAATTTTCGAAAGACGGAGTAAATTTTTCTTTTTTGGACAATTATCAAAAGTCATTGACATTGTCTCGCAGGGCCCATTTCCCTGATACGACCATCGAAGGACATTAGTATGTCTGTATACGACAAGGGGCCCGTATTGCTGGTCCAGATTTTTCTAATGCAGCGTCAGCGACCCGGAATTGATGACTCGTCCTCATCTCTATGACTTTAGCAGAGGCTGGAGAGGAAGCGAGGGACGTGCACTTATGCCCTTTATTTTGAATGGTCCTGTAACAGGAGTACAAGCGGATACCACTCGGGCCCATTCTCGGGCCCATAGGCTCGAGGCATGTCTGCCTGCTCGAATGGGCTGTCCGATGCCAGTGTCCAAAGGGTGTAAGGAACTCGTGGATGGTTTAACGGTACTGAAAGCCCCAGGGGCCTTACTGGCCCTGTGTGTATCGACGAGGGATGCCTTTGTCTGGCGATGCAGTAGGGCCCGGAGAGGAGGGGAGGACCAAGTTCGATCTTCTCCCTGTGTCAGAGTTGGGACCGGTCGAGAGCTCTAGGAAGGGGAGATCCCTATCGGGCCCCTGGAAGAGAACTGTGACACGGGCCCAGTTCTCCCGAGCATCTTCGCCACTGGGGGGTCCACTCGTCATCCGGATGGACGTTTCGTCCGTAAGAGCTTTACCTGGTGGACGCCTACGTTAGATAAGAAGGTCTTTAGGAGTCTCTGCTACCGGAGCTCTACCAATTTCATTTTTTGCTTCTTTCCTCGTTACCGGTCCCCTTTTTATTTTGGGTCAGTCGAATAGAAAAAGAAGAAAAACCTTCACCGACCATCAATGAGTCTCGTTAAAGTCTCGACTTACCCTATCAGGCTCCAAACGCTATCGACGATAAGCTCACGCGATGCTGGTTCCGCATTGATTCAGCTTTGTCCACGTCTACCAGACAGTACCCACTGGCTGAACTACTGACCCCTCGACGTACTAGACCATTCACGAGAATTTGCACAGCTGCTTGCTATTTTTTTTTTTCATTGACTCCAATATACGGTAGACTCGTTTATCAGCCACCGGGTACCAAGCAGTTATCGCCAGCCAGTCTTGTATATTTCACACTGAGCTGGTAAACTTCCGTTCTCCCTGGTGCTGTGAGCCAATCTTAAAACTTTCTCAGTAACTTCTTCAGCCGACGATTCCCTCTCTGCATAGTGCAACGACCCCTAGACCACCTCCTGGTGAGCCAATGGAGAGAGAGAGAGGACGATGCTGAACGAGCCGAGTGTGGCACGTGATTTTTACCCAATTTGCCAAATATGTACCAGACCATGTGTGAATGATGAAACTTGTTTGTGGAGGCTGTTCCATTGGATCTTGTAGTAACCGTACTGGCGCTGAGGTGGGGTTCGTAGTAGTTCTCAATGGAATTGTGGAAGAATGAATGATGCCCATCCAATTCAGATGGCTCACCAGGTAGTGTCTTCTGTGTTATAATGTTCCAACTCCCACGTCATCATTCTACAATTTTGGATAGAACTTCTCGGCGAGGATTCCTGCGTAACACACGACGTGAGAGAGAGAGAGAGAGAGAGAGAAAGAGAGAGAGGGAGAGAGAGAGAGAGTCAGTGCTCGTTTTATCTCTTGCTGGGCGTGCACCGAAACCTAGCGGAATCCCAAACAAATAGCCGGATGCTGGAGTATTCCCTGGAATAATACACGAGTGGCCTTACCAAGAGATGGAAGAGGCATATAGGGAGATGGAGATCGGGTGAAGACGGAGGTTTGGGAAGATTTTATATTGGGATAAATTGTGGTAGTGACGCAGTATCATCATCAGAGGTTAGTGCAGAGGAGTAAAGTGTCGAACCTGGTCCGGTGTAATCGGGATTGATGAGATCAGTCGGAGAAATAAGGCAGTCGTGATCTTTATAAGGAATCATGAAAGGTTCATTGGGAGACGTATGGATGAGTCCTTGTGGTTTAAATCTCTCTCTCTCTCTCTCTCTCTCTCTCTCTCTCTCTCTCTCCCTCTGCTTCTCTGGGTAGAGGGAGTCCTTTCTCATTCGTCCGGTCCGGCACGTCGTGTCTCGTCCCACGTTTCACGTGCTACGGCCTTATGGACGTTTAGGAAGAAATAAATTTTAACTGGACGGCTGGCAGCCCACGCGTCTCCTGAAGAGCACACGTATCCACGTTTACTTAGACGCTGGGGAACCTGCTACCCTCCGGAGACGAGTTTGCTTCGTCCTCCAGTTGCTAGTCGTACTTTGACAAAGCACTGATGGTGTTGGCTATTTTTTCTTATCACTCTCGAAGAGTCCTGGAGGTTCGGCGGGAGGAAGACTTGGGGATGGAATTGAATAAAGTTTGGGCCTTTTCAATGAGAAGTCGTCGTTTAGGTAGTGTTCAAAGGACGGGGTATGACGGAGTTAGGTCTTCCTTGGAATCCAGCGGGTCTTATACGGAGAAACACATTTATTAGAGACTTCCCTCTGGGTATCGACTCCTGGGTGATAGATAGGAAAGGGATAATGCGTGAGGGTGAGGGAGGGCCGTAGGGCCCACAGGCTGGTAATTTATGAAAGGATGGTTTGCCTGTATATCCAGTCTCTGGACTGCACCTGTACCTATATGGTAATGCAGGCTACGTGGCCAGAGGCCGGTTGTGTCTCTGGTAGACGATCTAGAGGATAGAAGCTGGATGCAGCCAGTATGGTTATAGGGCCCTTTTAAATTGGGGGACTCTTTTCTACTAGGCTGGTCTTCCTCCCGTGGGCATCGTTTCCCATCATGGGCATCGTGTGTATCCTGGATATATGTATGTTCGTGGGTATCACGTGGCGTGGGTTTGGGTATACACGTACAACATCCGGTCAGCCATTGTCCGGCAAGAAGTCCCCGCGACGATCGGGCCTTACTTTGTAGGCATTATAGTATATCCAACCGTACGGCCCACTCGCTTACATCTTAAATCAACTCGGCCACTCGCGATTCCTATCGCTCTTCTTCTTCGTCTTCTTTATTTCTTCTTGGCTTACACTCAATCACCTTAATTTTGAATATGGGTCCCACCTTCATTCAACTGCGTTTCCTGTGTATCCACCTGCCGGCTACTCTGTCATGCCCAAACGGATACCTTCTTTCTCCTTTTATTTTTACCTTCGTCCTTTTTTGCATCCTCTTGCCGAAATACCAGTCGGAATTCACTCTGACAATGAGTCGAGGAGTAAAGAAAAAAAAGATGGAAGGAAAATGGTTGAGCACCCCCGTGCGGTACTTAATTACCAGAGTCCATTGGGCCCATGGCTAATTTTAAAAGGTGGATCTGGCAGCTTAGGGGCCCCACCTCATATCCTCGTACCTTGGCCGGCGTCCTTCCTTTGTTATGCCCGTGAGGCCCCCTAGGTATAACTTTCGTGCTGGTCCCAGGCACCTTTATCACCGGGCCCCATTCTCGGTGTGACAAAACAAATTTACAGCCGAAATTTCAGCGGGGGCCCCCTGCCAAGCGAGCATTCCACGCGAGGATACTCTCCTGGGACTAGTATCATCCTCCATCTTTTTTCTCTCTCTCTCTCTCTCTGTCTCTCTCTTTTCCTCTCACCACCCTCTCTCCGTCATTCCGTGAATTGCCTAAGGCCCAATTGCGCCGAATGCCCAATAAGTACCGTCCCTCGGTACATCCAAAGTGTCCCGTGCCCCAGGAAAGCCGCTGAATGGTGAATGAAATAAAGAAATAAAATAAAATAATTGACAAACTACAATATACAGGCCCAATGAGATGCGGGTGCAGAAATTGCGAGTGGCCGTATGTGTATGTCGCCTTGAGGACTCGCAAAAGGACGCTCCGATACAGACGTCTCCTGCGCCAAGATACGCGAACGTTAAACGCTAACGGCGAACGCGCATTGGCCGCTTCGCGGATGCCTAACCTAACCTAAGCCCGGCAACTAGATCCACAAGGAGGCAGTGTAACTCGAACGAAGCTGGTTAACCCACGCCGCCATGCCTACACCAAGAACCACTCTCCGCTCTCTCTCTCTCTCTCTCTCTCTCTCTCTCTCTCTCTAAAGTCTCCGGACTCTCAAGTCTCACAATCGGTACGGATTTCTGATCCCTTCCTCCCTGCACGATGAGCTCCCACCGGTGGCTACCAGCTGCCCCGATACTCCGGACCCGTTGCCCGCAATACGGTCGTCCTGGAAAATTGAACCTAGCGCAAGCACAGATCCGGCACGACGTATGAGTGCATGGAGCGAAAGAGAAAAAGGAAGCAACCTCAGGCTGTGCCAGGACGATCAAAGACACCTGCTTCAATTGATTCGTCTCCTCGTCCCCCCAATCCCCTTTTCCCCTCTGGTATCGCCAGGTCTCTTGTCGTTGTTCCTCAGCTCCTCCTCCTGCTTCTCCGCGTCCTTCATAAACACCCAGATAAGATCTACCCTCGACGACCAGGAGACGCATGTAGGAATGCTGGGCGTGCCTTGGTGCTCTCGACCTGGACATCTTCCACGTGGGCAGTCGACGTCGGCACGAGGCTCCATTTCTCCTTGGAACGACATTTACGTTTCCCTTATCAGGTCACTCCCCTTCGGTATCGCCATTCTTATTTTTTTTCCTCTCTTTCTGTTGACAGTTCGTCGATCTCGGTATCGTCACCAGCATAGAGTACAATCACAAGTCCGTGGAGACGGCCAGGAAGGGACAGGAAGTCTGTATAAAGATCGAGCCGGTACCCGGCGAGGCGCCGAAGATGTTTGGCAGACATTTCGACGAGAAGGACATGATTGTCAGTAAGGTAAGGATAGACTCTGTTTACTAGTTAATCGTCGTCAGGTCGTTCTGGCGACTCTTTTTTTTTTTTTTTTTTTTTTTTTTTTTTTTTTTTTT